CAGCATATTTTCATTCTGTAATTGCACCATTTTCTATTCTTAATTCTTTGGGTTTCTGACTTAAAGTGAAAAAACACCAAAACAGACGGTTGTGGAAAACTTCAGGAATGAGTGTGAACCTGGCTGTCAGAGACATAGGTTGTTGTAAAACTAGCCATGGAAACAGCTTCCTATTCTGGAGGTTAAAAATAATGTATTTACAGGGAAGTATTTACATTGGCCGCTGAGAGGCTTCCCCGGAGGAGCTGGAGTTAGGAAAGCTGTGAAATCCTCAGTTGCTGTTTGCAGGAAGCATTTCCCCGAGGCTGCCTCTGTGTGTGTGGGGGGGGGCGTGGGCCCAGTGACTTTGCCACTACTCCTTCCTGGTGACAGACTGAACGTGGAGATGTCTCCTGCCCTGGGACTTCTCTGACTGTGAGGGCAAGTGAACCATCCAGCCTTGCTTGTTCCAGAGTCTGTGGCCCAGACTACCCTGGGTTGCAGCAATGTCTGGCTTTGAGCTTCCCTAGAAGGGAAACTTTGTCCCTCATGGGACTTGAGACTGCACTGTGGGGACCCCACCTGCCCCAGAACTGGACCAAGGCAACCTTCCAGAGAACACCTTGATGAACTTGAACATGAAAATAGAGAGCAGCCTACTAGGGGGGGCGATTTATATCAGTGGGAGCAAATTCTTGTTGCAGCTGTGTTGCGAACAGAAAGCATTTTTGAGGCTCTCGTGGTTTCTCTCTAACCCCTGCACGTCCCCACTCTCTCGCATTCACTTCTCTGAAAGCTTTCCCCACCTTTCACCTGACCTCAGGTGACACCAGAATAGAATTTCAGATATGTTTCTTCTTAGGTGCCTGGTCCGACTCTTTGTAGGCCGTGCATTAAAATTATTTGGTGGTTTTATTCCTTGCATAACCTCAGTTTCAATAGCAGCATCTTCGGGAAAGCGATTAATAAAGTATTATGAGATTAAAAATACTCTTTATGTATCTGCGTTTCCTTGCAGTCCAGAACAGAGTTCATCTCAGTGATTGTATCTGCAAAGAATGGAGGAATGGATGGTTGAGAAATACCCAGGCATTTTAGAACTGGTTTGTTCGGGAAATGTTTGGTTTGCTTCTTTGCTTGTTGGAGACTCATATTTTGGCAAATTGGGAAAGTTGCTTGGAAGTTAGAAATCGGCTGTTTGTATTGTTCAAGAATGTGTGTCGTTACCACTGCTTGATGGAATTAGAGCCTGAAATGACACACTTGCCCACGTAAGCACATTTGGAGGGGAATAATATTCTTGTTCTCTGAGGAGGGAGAAAGGGTAGCAGGCTAAACTTTGTTTTGGGGGTGTTGCAGGTGGATGCGCTGAATTCTTTAGGTGTTTGAGTTGACTTTTGATGGACTGCAAAAAAAGAAAAAGGAAGGGGGTGGGGGTGGGGATGGGGCTTGGATTTGAGAATTGGGATTATGGAATAGTGGGTATTTATTTACCTGATGATGACAAAGCTCAGGGTCCTCCTCTAAGGAAACTCTCCAGCTGATTTCCATCTCAAGGTGGTGGAAGGCTGATGACTGGGGGTGGGGGCTAGGTGAGCAGTTGTTCAGAACTTTCCAGAAATTGTCACTTACAGGCTTCTTAGCTTGTAAAAAAGCATCTGTAGGCCAGGTGTTGCGGGTTATACTTCCTGGGGCTTGTGTTAAGCAGCAGGTCACCTGTGTCTTTCGCAGTCTCAGTCAAATTTAAGACTGGACCTGTGGACCTTGTGGTTTTGTGGACCCAGACCCCTGTTCTCTGTACTTTGCTAGCTGAACCTTATTACACTGGTTCTAGAACGCTCTTGACTATCTAGAACTACTCCACTTTGACAAAAAATAAATTCTGAAAGTATTTACTTTTGTGTCACATGTTTTCCTGTGTTAGCTCATTGAGTGAGTGTTAATAAAGATGAAAGGAGAGATTCTCACAGGAGATGCTCAACTGATTCTTACTGGAGTGATTTTTAAATCTTTTACTTCTCTTACTATTTACAGGATAACTCCCATGTGATTCTCCTGAACGATGAGATATTTAATCTGAAATCAAGGAAGGTGGTTTGCAAAAGGAACACAAAATTAGCCCTATTGTGGAAATTGATGTTGACAGGTTGGTGTTTGGTGAAAAACATCTCTGCAAGAAGCCACGGGAGAGATAAAGGAGTTCAGGGTCCCACCGATTCAGGAAAAATGAAAAATGTTGAAATCAAGTGGGGAGAAGGGAATGGGCCAAATCACAAGAAACCAGACTGTTTTTAACTGAGAAAATTCAATTTTATCTGCTTTTTTCGCCCAGCAAATTCCATTTGATATTTTACATTTTCTTGATAACTTAATAAAGGATCCCGGGAAGGACTTGCCGAACTTTAGCTTAGTGAAAGAGAATTTGTCATTTGTGACATTTCTTCTCTAAATAGCACGAGAAGATCAATGTATTAGCTTGTAGTTCATACATTACTAGTTCTAGCTCTTTCCGTCCCAAAAGGACGGTGCGTGTGGGCAGGCCGGGCCGCGAGACGTGCAAGCGTCCTCCCTGCAGTCACCAGCTCTGCAGGGAGCAGGCCCTGCGCCGCGGGCTGGGAGCTGGAGATAGCTAAACTCAGGCCTTGTCCGCTTGGTACAGGGCAGCCCAGAGCGGACTGGGCGCCTGTCTGTGGGGCCTCACCTGCGCGCTCACAGCTCAGCTACACGGCGGGGACACACGGAAGGGTCAGTAACGGGTTTATTTACAAAAGGGAAAAGGAAGAGGAAACAACCCAGGGAAAGAGAGCGAGATACAAAGTAAGCGGAATACCTTATGGCTAGGCTGGCTAGGCTGATTGCACACACAGTCACGTGGTCCGGTCCGGTCCGGAGAGCTGCTTCCCTAGCGGCAGCCAGAGCCAGAGCGCGTGAGACGCAAGCGCGCCCTATTTATACCCCCAAATGTCCCAGAATTCCTGCTAGCTCCGCCCTGGGGTCCTGCAGTTCTCTCCCTGGGACTGCTGGGAGTTGTAGTTTTCAATCACTGGAGTAGTGTGTAGGGTCCAGAAAGCTGGAGTAGGGGGTGGAGTCCATGAGACTCTGCAGAGTTCCTTTAGGACATCCTTCCCCTTAACACTCTCAGAACACCCCACGCCGGTAGAGGACAGATCCCCGAGCCCCCCCATATAAATAAAACGGGGCACTGCATTCAAAGCAGGAACTGGGTGTTCCTGACCAGCCGCCCTTGCTTGGACCTCGGCTTCGTCTCCCTGCCCAACCGGGGGACCGCAGAGTGTTTCCCAATGGGTCTGACCGTGGCGCTTTGACCTTGGCGGTCACGGCAGCCCACTCCCCCGCCCCAGAGCCTCTCGCGGCTCTACTTTGACCAGAAGCTCAAGATGATGCTGAGGATGACAGTGTCCTGACACACGCAGCCCCTCCTTCACACGCTCACACTCTCACACGCATGCTTTTTCTGACTTCCACCCTGCGCTTTCTCTCTGCTCTCTTCACACTGGCATCCTTCTGTTCCAGGGACACTCCAGACAGTCCAGTCTGGGACAGTCCAGTCCAGAGACAGGGCTGTCACACTGACTCCCTCTGCGGGGGACAGTGTCCCAGAGACAACTGCACGGACTGCGCCTGGCTGCACGGACTGCGTCTTTGCTCAAATGTCACCACCTCCCGGAAGCCTCACCCCCAACCTCCTGGTTAAAATGGCAGCTTACCTCCTACCCGCGACCCCATCCTCCGCGTCCAGCTCTTTGTCTCTTTCCCGGAACTACCACCCTCTGACTTACTGCTACATCACTTAATCATTTATGACTTTGGTTTAACATTTCTCTTCCTGGCCTGGAATGTGCGTTCCAAGAAGGCTGGGTCTTGGTTTAGTTCAGTGGTGTCCGAGCTACGAGAAGGAGCGGCGAATTCTGGCCAAAGGAGAGGCGAATTCTGGCCAAGCGTTCCATGGAGAACCACGAGGAAGCGGCCTTTGAGCCGGGTTGATGGACATGTTGCATTGGGACAGTCAGGTTTTCTGAGGAAAGTCATTCTAGGTGGAAGGAATATTTGGAGCAGAAGGTGAAACGTGACAGGGCTCTCGAGGATTCCTGGAGTAATGGAGTCTCCGTTGGCAGGGCTGGTGGCGGTGGGGCGGGCGGCGGGGAGAGTGGTATTGCTGGGATATACAAAGGGAAGAAAATATCTCAAGTGGCAGGTGGCGAGGGACATGTTGTCAACCCTTGCCCACCACCAGCCGGCTTGCGTGGTGGCGACGAGGATCGAGGAGTCTGGAAGCGGGGGCGCCCCAAGCCCTAGCCCTTGGGTGGCTGGAAGCTGGCTCGTGAAGTGTTTGCTAGCGAGACCTGTAATGGAATTTCATTTTTATTCTCTTTTTGTGGAATTTCAGCCATTTCCGACTTTACTATAGCACTTGCCTGTCTTCCAACAAGTCACG